CACCTGCTTCTACCCATGAAATTAGAGAAGCAACTGACTGATAGCAACAACTTTGATAAGTAGCAGTGTGTTTAAAATGCACGGTTTTCCTGAACTGAACCCCCAAGTGTGAACCCCTGGTTGTTCTAAGCTGATGAGGAAAAATATATGACAATGACTTTACTGACCAATTGCAAACTAACTGAAAGGAGAATTTTGAGGATGACATGGCTATGTGTAAACTATGTGTGCATAGGAACTGTGATCTAAATCAAAGTCTGCTGAAAAGTGATGGAGCATCCTTGCCCCTTCACACGTAGCTATACACAGTACACTAAAACTCTTCTTTTAAACTCAATATATATACAGTATAGAACAGCATATGTCATGTCTTCACTCTATCCACCATACATGTTTTGAGCCATGTAAAAAAATACACCAAGATATGTGGCAATATAAAACAAAGTCACAGTAATCTTCAAGCAATCTTAACATGCAAGGGTTTTGTTAGTTTGTTAACGGGAAATGTCAGCGTCTGATATTGTAGCAGCCTCAGGGCATTGCACGTACTCATACAGCTGTTGTTCGAATGAGAAACCAGCGAAAAGCTAAACAAGCCTCATGCAAATGTGTAAAGATTTAATATCAGCCACATTAGCATTTTTTTCACACTAGTATGACACATTTGAGAAAGAGTTGTTAAGAGAGTATGGTAAGGAGCAGTAGTTTGACTAGCCATTAGCATAGCCTGGAGGAAGACTGTGCTCAGTGAGTGATGAGCTACTAACTAGTGATAACTACCTTTACTTTACTGAACATCATTCAAAACGGCCAAACGGTCCCTTGCGGTTTTCAAAACTAACATAAAACCTTATTTTATGTCACTTTAGCACAGGGGTCACCAATACGGTGCCCGCAGGACACATTCTAAAAATAGCACTGATCGACTGACAGTCAAGCAGCGCACTAAATGTTAAACAATGGAACCAAAAGTCACCTGTGTGCTCTTCGGAGCTTTTATTAACAAAAGCGTAGGAAATTAGAGGATAGGAAAACAAATTATTTTCACAACGATTGGGAGAATATTTTTTTTCTGCATTTGTTTTTTATATTACATAACTGATATTTTGTATCTACAAGAGTTAGTAGGAATGATGAGCACAAAGGGCATGAATTAAATGTTTTACTGGTAAAAGTTTCTTTAAAAAAATGGAAAAGCAGTTACCATTTTCTTAAATAAATAAACCAAACCTGTTTTTAAACATGTATTTTAAATAAATGCTACGAATGTGTTCATTCCTACAAGCTGTCAAATATTTTTATCATTTTACTTTTTACGTTTACAAAATACACATAATTATTAATGTTATTAAATATGTGTTTTCTGCTATAAAAAAAATCTATCCATTCTGTCCTCGTTCCTAATCAGGGTCAGGGTGGGAGCTGGAGCCTTTCTCAGATCTCAGACCACCACAGGGACACAGACAGAAACACAGACAACTATCCACACTCCGGTCACACTGAAGAGCTCAAAAAGGGTTTCAAACTGGGAACATTATAATCAGATCCCCCTGCTGCTGCACGGTGTTTAAATTACTTATTATTAATAATAATAATTTATCATATCTACCACAGTAAATTATGATTATCACAAAAAGTCTTTGACATTGAGATTTATTCAGGGAGTCAAATGTATAAACATGTATAAATTTATTATAAATGATACTATAATTAAAGGTGAGACGTGCAAATTTATGTTTGTATCAAGTAGCCCTTCGTGTTACTTGGTACCCCCAAAGTAGCTCTTAGTCTCGATAATTGTGTTGACCCCTGCTTTAGCACAAATGTACTGTACAACAGGACTGTTTGGGAAGTGATGAAAACAATCCAATGACAAATGGATGAATCCAGCTTCCAACTGGGATAAAAAATGCTGTTTGAAAATCAAACTTTTCAGTCAAACCTCATTAAGAAAGAGATGAAAGAGCACCAAATACTGAATTTAACCTCATTTTACAGCTGATGAAAAATTGTTAACAGCAAAGGATGAAAAAAAGTTTGATAATTTAACTCAAAGCTGTGACATTACTTTATGTAACTTCTAACTGCTCCATGAATTATTATTTTTTAATCAAGATGGACACAAACAAAGAATCAGTTATGCATTATCACCAGTAGCTGGAAAGGGAGTGATACTATTTTTGTTCATGCCTGTGTGTTCTGTATAACTCATAGACCCCATTAATCCCTGAATGATATTAATGAAACTTGCACACAGTAATCAGTAGATTGATAACTAAAAAGGATCAATGTTTGGAATTCACCCGATTCAAGATGGCCACCACGGCAAAGCAGTTTTAGCCAACCTTAAATTTGGTGGTGAAATCATAGGAGCTGAGACTGATCTCCAACGCTTACTGATGTGTGCTGATCCCCCAAGATCTCTGTTAAAACCTTTACCTTTAACTCTCTTATCTAATGAATCACTGAATTATTATTAAAACTCTTGTGGCTCTTTCACAGAACAGGATTTAGACCCCAGTGAGATTTCTGAATGGACTGAGGGGGTCTGAGTCAGCCCACCCATCTGTCACAGAGTGAGGTAGTGACAGAAGTGAAACGACCCACATGTAAAAACATAAAACAGCTATACGTCTCAGCAATGTGATGAAGTGATGACATCTGGTCTGTGTGACCACCCAGACACAGGATTAAACTATAACACAGATTAGAGGGAAGCTTGATGACGACATACAGAAACTTTGTCTGTGGCTTGATAAATGAGTTAACCACAAAAAAAATGATGAACTGAATGAATTAATTAGGGCTGCAACTAACGATTATTTTAATAATCGATTAATCTGTCGATTATTTTTTCGATTAATCAATTAATCGGCCAAAATCATTAAAACACTTAATTACATGAATATGAGTAGATAAAAAAAATAATTTCATTCCTGTATAAATTAGGGATGCAAGTTATTGATAATGAATTAATCTGAACTTGATTTATCTTATAGATTGACTAACAATTAATTAATAAGCAGCCATTTTCTTAAAAACCGGAGTTTTCTCTTGAATTAAGAGGATCTTTCCATAAAATGAAGGATTTTTTAAATAATCTCCTGAATTAAAAAACAGAAGGACATAATAACTACAGTATTTTAACAGTTTATTTTGCCAGTTATTGATTAATGAATTAATCTGAAATTGATTTATCTTATAGATTGACCAACAATTAATTGATAAGCAGCCATTTTCTTAAAAACTGGAGTTTTCTCTTAAATCAAGAGGATCTTTCCATAAAATGAAGGAGTTCTTTGATAATCTCCTGAATAAAAAAACAGAAGCACAATTTTAACAATTTATTTTGCCAGCTGTATTAAATACCGACTGAAAAAAAGTGTATTTCTCCTACATGAAACATAACAGAAATTTAATAGGTTGCTGAATGAGGAAAATAGATTAAAATAATAAAATATGATTTTTAGATGTAAAACTATTATTAATTTATTATAATTGGAATTTATTTACATTTAACA